CTGCTCAGCTCATCCGGGGAACATAACTTGAACTATTTTTCATGCTTATATCGGACTATTGTGACTCGCTCCGCGTTTAAAACAGACGGTGCATGAATGCAGTTTTACGGTAAGTGAAATTCAAGTACTTTATTTATGTGTTGCATATGTTTTTAGTCAGCTAAGGTTAATGAATGTTAAAGCTTGGGTTAGCATGTAAGCAAGTGGTAGCTACATCTGTGCTAACGATGATAATCGTAGCCTCCAAGTTAAAACGTAATAGAGAAGTGTTAAGCATTAAGTGTGATAATACTGTAGAAAAAACGGCTTCTGTTTGAGGTTGGTAAAATAAGGTCATCCTTGTAAGTTAGAGAGATATTTTATTAGGTAGGTAACTTTATGCATTGATAAGGTACATTTAAATTTGCTATGATCGATTATGTAGACAAGCTAACGTCAAAGTAGTGTTGAAGAGCAGCGTAGTGTATGTGAAATTAACCTCACAATAAGATGTGTGTATATTACAAATATTAATGTCATATTTCAAGATGATTACCGGTACTTAGATATTACAATATGGTTGGTTGAGCTGGAGTTCATTATTGAGCTTAAACGTTAACGTCACAGTCATATCTGAAGAACAAACCCAAACCTTGTTCTTTTTATTAATTGTATTACCAAATTGGTATCAAATAAATAGTAAGCATTGGTAATACCAATGCTGATAAAGAAAACTATTTTATTTGAGTATTTGTGTCTGGGAGAAGGTACTGTACCCAGTTACTAGTTCTTGTACAAGAGAATACAAAAATAAAAATAAATCAATATGGACCATTACTGTATAATTATCCTTAAATTATGTTATACAATGCACCTAATAAACAAGTATGGCATTTTGAAACATGATGTGCAACCATTTTTACTGTAATTTGTGTGCATTTTGTTGTTAACTAAGATGATGTTATGAGTTATTTTTTGTCAGTATGCACGTGGACGCTTTGGACATACCTGGGGAAGGAAGAAATGGGTCTTCGGAATGGGAGTTAAAGACAAAAGCGGAGACTAGTGTTGAAACTAGTGGAGAAACGATCAAGATGCCACCTTGTCCCTCTGATTAGACGGCATGTTAAGTCAGGAAGTAGCATTATTAGTGATGAGTGGAGGGCATACAGGAGAGTGCTGAGTAACATGGGGTACAACCACTACACCATAAACCACAGCAGGTGGTTTGTGAACCCCCAGACCGGCAGTCATACCCAACATATAGAAAGAGCTTGGTGGACCGTCAAAGGACATGTCCGTAGACTGAGAGGAAACCGTACAGAGAGTTTGTTGGAGGAACACCTCAAGGTTCTTGAATGGTCATCTTGGCTTGGCTCTGGTCACCCTGATGGACTGCTTGGACGCTTGTGCAAGGATATACACAAAGCCTTCCAAGTATGAGTACCATTATTTCTTAGCAAGTCTTTAATTTATCTCTGAGAAAAGCTTTTATGTTTAAAAATGTGTATCAGTTATACTAAATAGTCATTACTTTGAGTCCTAATTTTCTTCACGTGTGAATAAAATGTTTTGCTTGGCTCTTTTGCATCTTACTTTGCATCTCCTCCTTGAGTCCAATATTGACTGTTTGGGAATATCTGAATCTTGGCTAAAACAGTCGTCACCATCCACTCTTGTATCTATGTCAGGATATAATGTGTTTAGGAAGGACAGACTGGAGGGAAAAGGAGGGGGTGTGTTGCTTTATGTGAGGAATACCATTACTTGTAGGGAGATTGCACTCCCAGCTAACATTGAGTTTGATTGTGTGTGGAAATCACACTATCTGAGGAAATGTCCCTCACCATGATTTGCCTGTATCTACAACCCACCGCTAAGGTGGATTTCTATGACCAGGTAAAACTCCTGCTGAATTCCTGTGACTCCAACAAAGAGCAAATTATTCTAGGAGACTTTAATATCAACTGGAATGACAAACAAAATAGAAAAAGCTTCAAACGGATCACGGATAAACACAACTTAATACAACGAATGGATCAACCGACTAGAATAACCAAAACCTCCAAGACTTAGATTTAGAATAGATTTATTATTTACAAACAAAGCTGACAGAATAGTTAAAACCTACAACTTCCTGACTGGTCTTTCTGACCATAATCTTGTTATTTTTGCCAGGAAACTCACAAAAAAAAGGTTCATGGCCACACCTAAAACCCCTGCCTTGGGTTCACGCTTCATCCCCAAAAACCTGCAACAACGTTTTATGGAGGCAGTGAAAATTATTAATTGGGGGGACACTCTGTCCTCTGAAGATATTGGTGAAAACAGTAATCTGTTTATATCTAAAATTAATGATGCAATGTCTTCCTTCTCAAGGAGAGGGTCAGTTAGGGACAGGAAGGAACATCATCTTCCCTGGCTGAATCTACAATGCAGGAATCTCATGAAATCTAGAGACCAACTACTAAAGCAGAGCTTGAAATCCGGACTATTCACTGACAGACATAAATGTACTCATGCTCGTAATAAGGTAACTCAAACAATAAGACAGGCCAAAGCAAACTTTTTCATCAATATAATTGAAGGTGCGAAAGGTAACAGTAAAAACGTTTGGCAAATCCTAAATAAACTATTAGGTAAACATAAGAAACAGGAAAATAATGCTCTAGAATTAAAAATCAATGATGCCCTGATAAAAGACCCTGCAGTGTTGGCCAGCTCTCTCAATGAGTATTTCATAAATAGTGCTCTGGACATTACAAAGCTCTTCCCGCCATCTGAGGTCTCACCTAGCCCGACTGGATACACATCCAGTTTTTGACCTAGAGGAAATCACAGAGGTGGAGTTAAAAAATATATTCTTAGGGTTAAAAGGTTTTAAGGCTATGGATGCAGATGATTTAGACACCAACTTTATAAAAACACATATTGACGGTCTAATAAAACCACTTACTATGCTAGTAATCTATCAGCACGAGGGAAGTTCCATCGTCCTGGAAGGTGGCCACGGTGACACCGATCTTTAAATCTGGGGATAAGGCAATAATGTCCAACTACAGACCAATCAGCATCCTCCCCTGTGTCTCTAAGATAGCTGAGAAATGGGTGTCAAAACTAATCACCAAACATTTAGATAAAGGTTTCGCTCCACTCCACCCAATGCAGTTTGGTTTTAGTGCTCACCACTCCACTGAGACAGCTAACTGTGTCTTTGTGGAAAAGGTTAAATGTATGTTGGACACGAGCCCATATGTAGGTGCTGTCTTCCTTGATCTCAGGAAGGCTTTTGACACTGTTGACCACCAAGTGCTCCTTACAAAGCTGACGTAAAACAGTGTGTTTTGGTCAACGGTACCAAATCCCCCTACCTTGTGAACCCTGTTGGGGTTCCACAAGGTTCCATTCTTGGACCATTACTGTTTTCTCTGTACATTAATGACTTGCCTAATGTATGTCCTGATTTGAATGTACAAATGTATGCCGATGATGCGGTCATCTTTGTACACAGGAAAAATACTGAAATAATCACATCCTGTCTCTCAAATAATTTGGACAAGGTTCAACACTGGCTGAACAACATTTGCTTACAGTTAAATGCAAAAAAAACAGTATGCATGATGTTCAGTAAACGACCAGTCAAAATCGAAGGATCCAATGTGTTTTTAAACGGAGCAGAATTAGAACAAGTCTCCCACTTCAAGTATCTTGGAGTCATACTGGACTCGAACTTGACTTTTAAGAAACATATCAAGAAAGTATCCAATACCGTTAAATTCAACTTGCAAAATTTTAAACAAATTAGACCTTTCTTAACTGTCAATGCTGCAAAGTCATACCTCCACTGTATGATTCTATCCCACATTGAATACTGTTTTACAAACTGGTCGTTTGCTTGTGCCACACACCTGAAACCCATAGAACAGCTGTACAAGAGAGCTATCAAGGTGTTTGACAGAAAGCCATATTCATACCACCACTGTACCATCCTTGAAAAACACAATTTCTTGAGTTTTGACAATTTTAAGTCTTTTAAAAGTATGTGTTTTATTTATAAATGTTTACATGGACTGCCCCCCCCCCTCCCTTAGGGGAATTCATCCACAAAAAACACACTGGACGCTGCACTAGGTCAGAAACCAGAGGAGACTGTGAGGTCCACCGTAGACGGACCACTTTCTGTCAAAATGTTCTATCAATTAAGGGCAGCTCTTTGTGGAATAGCCTCCCAACTGAGATACGGGATTGTCCCACTTTGAACAGTTTTAAAGGTCAACTCAAAGAATGGTTGAGAAACAAACAAACGTGCAATCACCGCTAAATGCACTTCAATACAGGGGCATCTCCTCTTGCACTTGATGTAGCCCTTTTATCTTCTCCTGCACTTTATATTTCGTAGCTGCTACATTGTACTGCCATGTGGTAAATGCTTATATGCTGCTCATGCTCTTTCTGCATATCATGTATTTATTTTGCTATGTATATAAATGTCATGTTCTCACTATTTGGCAAGCAACCGGTCACAGTTGCCCTGTTTATCTCATGTCTCATAAAAGCATTAATAATGATTTATAAAGTGTTCACAACCTAATTAATAAATGAATTACAAACTATTCATAAACCCTTTATAAGGGTAGTCTTATTGTAAAGTGGTACCCAGAATTCTGTACATATACAGAACAAAGCCCATCAAATATGTTTTTGGTTGAGCACATCAGTTGGGTGGACAGAACATCTGGTAGTATGAAAGAAGTGTTCAATTTGGTACAAAAGTTTGGTTTTGATAAATGTTTATGTCATTTTGGCTGCAGTTTTTCATCATGCAGGATATATGAGGTGATTTGCACTTTGAGTGTGTGGTTTTGTGAATTGTGTTATTAAGTGTTTTGGGAAAATAAGCCATGTATTGAAAAACATGCGTAAGCAATTGAAAAAAACTGTAATAGCCTACACAAAGTAGCATGACAGGCTGGGGGTGCTACTTCTGCTGCAGGGAGGTGCAGGGGATGTGGTAACGAGAGGGAAGTTAAAGTAAGTCAGTCACAGTCAGTGTGATAATATTTTCAGTGTCAGTTTGAGTCCCACAAATATCAGAGATGAAATGGTTTAAGACTGCTGTGGACATTGCCAATAAACAGACAAGCATGGGGTTAGGGCTGGTGGCCCTGACAGCTGGGGGGGAGCAGATCTTTTCCACAGTGGCCTTCAGCTGTCCCTGCAACCAACTCAACTTCCTCTACGGCTTAGTGTTCCTGCTTGTGCCCGCGCTGGCTCTGCTGCTGTTGGGGTTCATCCTCAGTGAGAGGACGTGGAAGGTACTGACGGGCATGTGTCGGGAGCCGCGCCGCTGGAGGAGGCTGGTCACCGCCGGCTCGGTCCTGTGCCGGGTCAGCTGGATCGCACTGGTGGCCCCCTGCAGCTGGATAGCCATGGCTCTGCTCAACGGGAAGTACTATGAGTGTGCGATGACCGGGACCAATGTGACCGCTTACAACAAGCACCTGTGTGGAGACAAGAGTTTGGACCAGTGTCAGCTGGAGCTGAGCAGCTTGCCCTGCTTGGGGCCGAAGGAGGACCGACAGCGGGTCCTGATCACTCTCAGAGCCGATTCCCAGGTCAGTGCACACCTCCACACATCGTATAGCAAGTATAGCCTACACTGTGATGAAGTGAAATCAAGTCTAAATCAAGTTGTCTGAAGAGTAGACAGCATCACTTGATTTAGAGTGCGTGTCATATAATAACGCGTGCCAAGGACAACTGCAATATAAAGTAAATAAAGTTACAATTTGAGAGGACCCGCATATGTCATATCGAACAGAACGGTGAGCTTGCTTTAGACCTTTTAGATAAAAAAAACTAACATTTGCCCTCGCTCAAACTTTCATAAGTCACAAAAAGAAGAATGGATGAAATGCCACCTGCAAAACAGTATTCTGATGCTGTGCTGGCAGATGTGTATCTGACCCTTCGAGATTTGACACAGAAAGACCTCTTTTCAGGCTTTTCTGTGTAAACATTTAAAGTTATTTTTAATGATTTTTTTTTTAAACTTTACATTAGGTTTACCTTCAAAAACGGTGCCCTTCCTATTGTGTGCAAAAGTCATGTTTTCAAATCACAAGCGTAGGTATACTGTGCAAGTGAAATCATATGGCTGACAGATGCTAACAGTCCCTCAGTATAACACGAAGACCAATCTTGCTGGGCCATTAACATACAAAGTTGCATAAAACATTGTTTTTGTTGTTGCTTTATTTTCTTTCAGCTTTTAATGGGTAAAAAGTGATTTTATAGCTATCTCTTATTCCATCCTGTTTGGCCATAGATTCTGGGATGGCTGCTCATCGCCTCCATCATGTTGTCCAACCTGCTAATGATCTGCATGGCTCGGTGCACCTCCCCCATCAGCTACCTGCAGCTCAAGTTCTGGAGAACGTATGTTCAAGAGGAGAGCAACCTGATGGATTCATACAGCTCTAAACACGCCAAAGAGCTCGCTGAGAGGAACCTGAAGAGCTTCTTCAACCATCAACCGCCTGAAAACATCAGCACACCTTCCAACAGGGCCTGGAAGAAGATCTCCTCACTCTACAAGTTCAGCACCAAAGACCATTACTACAGCACCATTCACCGATATGTGGAGGAAAGTTGTGACGATGACATGATGAGGATCGCTTCGGTCAAGTCCAACGGGACTGCTGACAACATCCCAGCTGCTCTTGATTTTGTAGACGATGTCAGGATGGCATAGTGACAAACACCTCTATCACCAAGATAGTCATCATCAACATCTCCATCATCACCACTATCATCATCATCATCAGCAGCAGCATCATCATCAGGGAACGTGAATGTTTCATCCACATTTATAAAAAACCCAAATTGTTGAGAACAATAAGGACACCTGGTTTTAAGTCAAACTCAATAAAGGAATATGCTATATATGTAGAAATATAGATACATGACACCAATTAAACATGAACAGCAGCACAGTCAGGCAGAGTGTAAAGTGAAGAGATTTGTGTGAGCTTTATATAACAGGAAATGTGTCAACCTCACCACCGGACCACTTCCTGTTCTTCGCTTGCAGAATAAGCACGTGGCTGGGAAGTGCATCTACCAATCATTATGTCGATGGCTCGATCCCTAGCCCCTGAAGTCCACGTAAGGCCCGCGGTGTGTGTGTGTGTATGGCAGCCTCTGCCTCTGTATGAATCTGAATGGGCTAAAGCTATGTAAAAGTGCTGAAATGGGTCACAAAGAGTGGAAAGTCTATTTAAATGCAGTCAATTTAAAGAGACCCATGTGGGTTTTTACCTTTCCTGTAGTGTGTTACATAGGTTTCTGTGCATGTTAATGGTAAAATCCCTGTGATCTAGAGGGAGTTTTTCTCCCAAACAGTCCCCCCTCGCCCCCCCTGCCTGAAATGCCTTCATTGGACTACTTTGTTTACTTCCGTTACATTATGACATCACTATGTAACATTTGTGCTTCTATTGGCAAGTGCTCCAACACATTGACCAATCACAACAGAGCTGGCCAGCTAACCAATCAGAGCAGACTGGGCTCTGGTTTCAGACAGAGGGTGAAAAGAGGTGCTGCAGCACAGGCTGTTTGAGACAAATAAAGAGCTTTTTGGACATTAAAGCATGGAGACATGTCACAGTAGAGACACACATATGAACCTAAAAATGAGCGTAATAGGGCCCCTTTAACACGAATGCATGTTATATACATACATGCACATGCACCCAATCAGCATATAAGCATCAGGCATTGTACAGACTAGTGTTGCTGTAATGGCAGCAGATAATGATGTGGAAGGGTTTTCCTGTGAAGCACTCAGGGATTTAGTCTCTCTAATGGAAATGGAACAGAAACCACCGAGAGGATGTGACCCCTTCCTCTGTGCACCGCTGCTGATGCTGACTGCTGCTCTGCCTCTGCAACGTATGGTATGTTCTAGATGGAAACATTCAAAAGCATGGATATGCTCTTATTCAGTATGACTTTCTGCATGTAGGCTATACTTTCCCCCTGTGCACATTTAGTTGATTTCATGCTTGTTGAATGCGCTCTGCTGTCAGTGGAACTGAGGCTGGTTTGTTTGTGTGTGCTTGAAGAGAAACAAATCAAGTTGCCCTTCATTTCCTTTTTATACGAATGATTGACTGCTTTGTATTAAAGTGAGTGGAAACAGTTCCTCTGGTGTGTGTTCATTTCTGTTTTGCTTCAGGCTGCATTCCCGTCCCTGTCACGCGACACAGACAGGTGGTTAAAAAACGAGAACAGCAGGGCTTTGGTCCATAGAGCTGTTGAGGGAAGCGTTTAAAGAGGAATGTATACATGAACAGAGAAGGAGAAGTAGAGTGAAGCTGTAACTGTACAACTGGGGCTGTGCCTTTGTTTTTAGTGACAGTAAAGCAGGGACTTCCCTTTGGAGGGATGTGGTGAGTGAAGTGAAATACTGTAGGAGGAGTCTGGAGAGAGGCAGCCAAAGGGAGGGGCAGGAACAGGCTTGTCTTCAGCTGAGAAAGGAAATAACAACTCTTTCACTCTGTCCACATCTCGTGGAGTGTGCCATTCCCGCTGACACCATGGATAACTTCCAGACCGTCCTGCGGTTCTTCATGAACCAGAAGGCCACCATTGGCTACAGCTTCATGGCTCTGCTGACTATAGGCGGGGAGCGTGTTTTCTCCATGATTTCCTTTCAGTGTCCGTGCAACCATGATCAGAACTTTGCCTATGGGCTGACTTTCCTGTTGGGCCCGGCTGGCGTGCTGCTGATTTTAGGTCTCTTCTTCAGCACCAGGCTGTGGAGGCTGTATACCGGCTGCTGCCTGAACCCCATGAAGCTGTGCCCCCGGGGGAACTGCTTTGGCTCACTCAGGGTTTTTATGAATATCTTCAGTGGAGCCTGTGTGGCTCCTATTATGTGGCTCTGTGTGGCCCTGCTCAATGGGACCTTTTATGAGTGTGCTGTCAGCGGTCTGGACGATAACCTGGTGGTGGATCTGTTCTGTAAAAACAAGACTCTGAAGTGTCGGGAGGAGCTGGCCCGGGTGCCCTGCGACCGCTCCAAACTTACTGCTGATGAGCGGATGGAGCTGCTGCTCATGTTCCGAGCCCAGTCACAGGTGAGACACACACACACACACACACACACACACACACACACACACACACACACACACACACACACACACACACCACACACACACACACACACACACACACACACACACACACACACACACACACACGTCTCATGTCTTGACTACTGCAACTCCCACCTGGCTGGTCTACCTGCAAGGACCATCAGACCTCTGCAGCTAATTCAGAGTACAGCAGCTCAACTCGTTTTCCCACAGTTCTCCCGAACTACACCGCTGCTCCGCTCCCTTCACTGGCTGCCAGTAGCTGCCTGAATCAAGCTCAATACACTGGATGTAGCCCCTACTGAGATCACCCTGATGATATTGCTATGACATCATAGGGGAGGCCGATAGGGGAAGCTGATGCGTGAGGCTCATACTGGAAGCAGATGTTGAGTGTTCATTACCAGGGCCGGTCCTAGACATTTTGGTGCCCTGTTCATTACCATCTAGCTCCTTTTTGCTCCAAAAGCAAACCAAAGCCTTTCTATTCAAATCTTAATAAACAATAGGCGCGTTCACACCAAGTACTTTGCCGTATTTAGTGCAGGCACTCAGTGCCCCGGCACTTATTACCCCAGGGCATTTAGTACAGATCGCGTTCACACCGGAGTACTTTTCCCTGAGGGAAGATTACGCAAATGAGCCGCTGACGTCACTTCGTCTTCTTCTGCTTTGGGTTTACTGGCAGGCCGCAAACAACTTCACGGCGTATACTGCCACCCGGCGTCCCCGGCCGGAAGTCCCCGGAGTTGGGGACTGGCTTCAGTAGAAGCTGCTGGGACTCCCAGCAGCGTCTACTGAAGCCTTCTGAGTAAATCGCCAGAACACCGACACCTCCTCATCTCCACCGCTCCCATGTTTTATTTTGTGTTGCCATAAGTTAGTCTCTCTGAGTTTGTGCGCTGGGCGAATGCTAATGCTAATAATGCTAATGCGAGGATAATAAAATGGCGGCTCTACAAAACATTTCAGAGTTGTACGTGGCGTGGTTTGCAATTCGCCCAGCCAATCAGAACTGGGGCACTTTTTTCCCCCAGGAAAGTACCATCTCTCAGCAGGCACTAAAAATGGGGGTAAAAGTTCCCGAGATTAAGTGCTCTTTTTGGTGTGAACACGACATAAGGGGTACTAACGGAACTAAACGCGAAAAGTACAGTGAAAAGTACTCCGGTGTGAACGCGGCTATAGACATCTGTTGGCAGCTTGTATGAAATAATGTCCTCCAGCCTTTAAAAGAGACTGCTTTTGTTGGATTTTCTCTTTCCTGCAGTGTGGTATATCATTTTTTGTGCATGTAAATGGTCTGCAAAGTCTAAAATCCCATGTTGCCTCCAGAGGGGGTTTCTCTCCCACATACCAGCCCCCCCCCCCCCCCCTCACTGAAACGCCTCCATTGGACTCCTTTGTTTACTTCCGTAACATAGTGACATCACTATGTTACATTCGTGCTTCCATTAGCTAGCGCTCCAACACATTGTATGTGAAAGGCTAAGGGACGGGACACCTTTAAGCAGTTGACCAATCACAACAGACCAATCACCAATCATAGCAGACCGGGCTCTGGTTTCAGACAGAGGGTGAAAAGAGGGGCTGCAGCACAGGCAGTATGAGAAAAATAAAGAGCTTTTTGAAAATTAAAGCATGGAAAATGGTCACAGTATAGAGGCACAATCTAAGGTGATGTGGAACTGTTTTGTTTTGTATTGATTTCATAGTGTTAAGTGTGCATTGTTTATCTCTGTCTACAGATCCTCGGTTGGTGCATCATCATAATTTCTGCATTCGTGGGCCTCCTGGGTACCTGCTACACAAACTGTCGCTCCAAAGTCAGCTACCTGCAGCTCACATTCTGGAAACGCTATGTGGAGAAAGAGAAGGAGTGCTTCGATACCTTTGCTGCGGATTACGCAAACAAACTGGCCGAAAGAAACCTGCAAAGCTTCTTCGAGAACAACGACCCTGTTCCGTTCCCTTTCCCCAATCACAGGGCATGGGAGGAGATCTCTGCACTGCACACCTTCTCCAGGAGCGAGCAGTATTACAGCACCCTGCAGCGCTACGTGGAGAGGACAGACAGGGACTTCACGCCAGAGAAGAGACCTGTGTTGGACGTTGAGCATGGAATAGAAATGCACTGACTGTGGGGACACTGTTAGCTAATAACCACTGTTTGTATTTAACTCTCAGTGTATTGTATGTGTGGTCTGACTCAGGAAAAGCTTCCTCCTCACTGACAATGCTGCCACTTACTTTGTTGCACAAAACAATGTGACCAAATTGCAATGCTACTATATCTTCCCTAAACACATGAAGGGCATAACCACTATCGTATAGGCCCTAGCTATTTCACACTGCATGCATTGTGAGGTGTTCTATTTCAATCTAATAAACACACTTACAGGAACATCGGAAAACACTGAGGTCATGTCCTGGCAGGGTTGGGAGTTTTTTATTTATTTATGTCTTCTGTTACAACTACTAGTTACCTGTATATATATAATCAGTAAGTAATCTGAGCATCACAATATAAAAGTAATGCAACTTTCTGTCACTTTTTTAATACCTCAATATCAAATGCAATGCAAATAAATACGTGAGAAAATATGTTTTTTGTAAGAAGTGTATGTAAGACAACAGAACAATGTAACCTTAGAAAAGAAGTAACCAAGATATTTAGTATAAAAAATGATTGTATTTACAGAAAAACCTGCCTTTCATTCAGCATATTCAGGCAGTAGCCTATATATCAACAATGAGCAGCACATACTACAGTTTCATTTCAGGGGTAAAAACTAGCGCTTACTCAGCCACCCCCCCTCAGATTTTATATGGGAAGTGCCCATGCAGTGGATGTGACTAGCAACACTTACAGTAATAAATACTGACAGCAGGGCAAGACTGTGTTATACACGCTGCACACACTCTACTGAACACACTCTGTTAGTTTGGTTCAGTTGAGGTCGATGAGGTCGTTTTGCAGCCAGTTGTTTACAAAGATTGTACAAGTTAATCCACCAAACATATTTATATAATTATTATACAACTGCAAAACTCTGTATAACAAGGATGGTACACTAACCTCGCTTTATCAGATCCTAACCTTTTGTAGCATTAATACGAACACGTATTTCCAACCATGAAACATTTGTAAAGTGTATTATTATATCCTGTATTTTTTACATTACTCAGCAATTTCCTCTTTTCTTGCCTATTAAAATCCTGGCATGTGTTGTCTCTGTAGCAGTTTACTATATGTCTCTGCATTTGTTTAAACATTCCAACCTGCTGTATGAACACGTTTCCTCTTATGACTGGTGCTGACTGTTTACTCTGTTAATGTGTAAACGATACGCTCCGATTCTAGTCTCATGTCAGATCTAGGACTCCATCTGTATTTCCAAATGAACCGATGAAGACTATTAGTAGAGCCAAACCCTGCTACAACCCAATAGTCTGTTGTCAACTGTTGGGACAGACGAGTTGAAACTTGAATAATCCCTGGAGCTCATCCTCTGCTGAAGGTAACATTGTTGCACCATGTAGGGTCTAATAGTATACCAAAAATAGGAGCATCTTTTTCAGAGTATTGGTTAGAGACGGACAGCTAATGAAAGACATAGGAATAGGGAAATAAAAATACGTTAATAAGCAATTCATATTTTGATGAATAAATGAAAAGTGAAATAACTAAATATAGACATTAAATAAATGAACCTGTGTCAAAAACAATTCAGTAAATAAACATACAATTCAAAGGTGGGGTAGGTAATTTTGGAGAAACCAGCTCGAGTGCGCTAGAATTTGAAAATACACAGCCGGAAAAAATCTGCCACTTCCTTACAGAGCCCCTCCTCCAACACACACAAACGCGCACATGACTAATGAGGGCACGAGATAAGTTTGTGCACAGATGGAAGGCTGACAGGCAGGTAGGCCATCCAGTTATTTTAGCCGGGCCGGCTAAAATGATTGGTCGTACTTTTTACAGTATTACGGCTTCCACAGATGACATTTTTTTTATGGATTTCTTGTCAAAGCACTTAAGATATTCATTGCTATCGGGATGTTAAGAGCATTCCATGGAATATAACAAAAAGTGTATCTCGAGCCGGTTTCTCAAACTTACCTACCCCACCTTTAAATTATTGTAATTATCAATATAAATGACATAATGTTACAAATGTAAGACTATAGAAAAAAATTGAGCATTTAAAATGGATTAATACCTTTTATCCCATTGTTTCCTCCAGAAGTGTATTCAAATTATTGGTGTAAACATTTTGTTCTGTTACCTGAAAAGGTTTTTAACTGATGTTTAGCTTAAAGGTGGGGTATGTAATTTATTTCAGAAACACGAAATGCTCTTAACATCCCGATAGCAATGAATATATTAAATGCTTTGACAATAAATACATTAAAAAATATCATCTGTGGAAGCCGTAGTACTGTAAAAAGCACGACCAATCATTTTAGCCGGCTCGGCTAAAATAACTGGATGGCCTACCTGCCTGTCAGCCTTCCATCTGTGCACAAACTTATCTTGTGCCCTCATTGGTCATGTGCGCTTTCGTGTGTGTTTGAGGAGGGGCTCTACTGTAAGGAAGGAAGTCTGAAGGAAGAGGCAGATTTTTTCCGGTTGTGTACTTTCAAATTCTAGCGCACTCGAGCTGGTTTCTCCAAAATTACATACCCCACCTTTAATGGTTGGCTCCAGTTGTGATTGTCTGTCTCTTGTGTCAGACCTATGATTGGCTGGAATCTCAACTATGAGCTGCTCAGTATAATTAATAAATAGATTCACTCGTAAAGTTCAAACATACATCAAGGCCTCAATCTTAAAGTTGTATGCCTAAGTGTCATACGTCATTCTCTTTCTTCTATTTTGGTGAATTGCACTTGTAGAACTCAATAAAGTTTGTTGAAAAAAAATCCATGGATTCCGCCTGTGGGCTGCAGACCAGAACAATGGATACGATCAGTGTGTGATATGAAACTGGTGAATAATTCCTAAATAAAGCAGAAATACGTACAGCTATAGCGCCAACGTGTATTGTGGGCACGTTTTTAAAAGTTAAACGATGTTTGACGGGTTTGAAACAGCTAAAGAAGTGTTAGATATATTGTCAGACCAAAGAGTCCGAATCCCGATATGATCGATGAGCAACACGCAGCAGCAGTTAGCCTGTTAGCCTCCATGGTTAGCCTCAGATGAGCAAAGCGGGATGTTCTGTCTAACCTCTAGATAACGTGAAAATGACGGACTACGCAGAAGAGCAAAGGAATGAACTGGAAGCTATAGAGTCTATATACCCAGACTCTTACACAGGTTTGACTTTAATTCATGAAACATTAAACAGAGAAGCGATAGACAGCCGAGTTAGCTCCTAGTCTAGCAATGACTCACGACATAATTGACTGAAACATACATCCAACAAATGTAGCTAACTATTTCTGGGGCACAAAGTGGTATAACGTTATATGTATTGTTGTTGTAACAGTACTGCAGCTATATGCCAGACATGCAGCAGTGAATGACAAGCTGAGAGCATGACTATGGACAGTGAGGTGGCGTTTCTCCGAACTACATTCAGTTGTAGTAACTCTAACCTGTTTAATGCATATATGTATAGATATGTTGGTCACTGCTTCAACATTTTAGATAACGACCTATATAACCCTATACATTCCTTATTTAGTTTTTGCTATTTTCTAATACCTGAAATGGTTACTAATTAGTGCAATTGATTAAACGGGATCAACACTTCACATCAAATATATAAATATGATAAGATTATAAAATAGCATTGTTAAATATTAAACCAGTAGACCTCTTTGTTAGAACATTACATTTCCTATTCAAGTGATACAATGATAATACTAACATATTTTGTCATATTATACTTTTTGGTATATCTATTTTTTCATGTAAATCTAATCTATATTTTAATGTTATAATAGTTTGGGTTTTTATTAATAGTTTTATTTTGTGGTCATTGTCTTACAATCTATCTTTAAGTGTTTATGTATGCACCATATACACCAAGGCAAATTCCTCGTATGTGAAAATCTACTTGGCAAGAAACCTGTTTCTGATTAATTTACTGCTCAGATGGTTCAATTTCATTGTTTCTTAATGCTCAAAGATGTATAATTATCCAATATTTACCCGTAAAAAATAACATTAGAAAAATCAAAAAAATTAAAACGCATTCAGAATTCAGATTTGGTTGTACTTTTTCCCAGTGACCATCTTACTACCACTATGATTCTCTGTATCTTCGGACTCCTTTAAGTGGCTCCAAGGTTTGGAACAATGAATAGACTGAATACATTGAAAACTACCCCCTCCACCAGCTGCACAAGCATAATGCCACTCTGTAAAACTGATGCAGCAGTATGACACTCCTTCAAGCATTACGTTTTAAGACAGATTGCTCTCTGCTGTCAGATTAGGAATTGTCACATGGTGTGTTAAATTAAACCTCTTTATTGAATAGCATCTGATACTAATACATGTGTGTTTGTAGTTCTTTCAGAGAAGCCTATCAGCTTCACCATCAATGTAACGTCAGATGCAGCGGAAAACGGTGAAAGTGAGTAAATGTCTTCGTCTATGGTTGCAAATTGTTATCCATTCCACACATGTGTTTAACACTGTTAGGAAATCTCACCTTGTGCACAATGAAATTAAGCGATATTGAATGAAATAGCATATCAAAGTTGACTTGAGTTGTGCAAGCTATATCGTAAACACCCTATTAAAAGTGAGTTTGAAAGTTGAAATGAAGCAAACTTTAATAAAATGAGCCGTCTGTTTTGTTCTTGCAGCCGTGGAAGCAACATTAAAGTTCACATATGTAGAGAAATATCCAGATGAGCCCCCGTTGTGGGAGATCCACGACCAGGAGAACCTGGAGGACAGCGACATGGGAGAGATCTTCACCTTACTGCAGCAGCAGGTCGGTCCATATCTACTTCATTTATATCAGTTTGTTCCATATAATTAAAGGATCCATACCTCAAATATAGTAGTTGATGACAATACCAGTAAAACAAATTCATTACCATGGTAAACTAAAAGAAACACTCTGCTGCTGTCAATCAAACACCAACACGCCCACCAGCTGAAAAAGAAAATTGGAATTTGTCATATTTCAAGGGCTGCAACGATGACTTTATCGATTAGATCCATGACATAACCTCATAGATCTTAAATCCAGGTGCATTTTTTACATTTATGTTCCGTTCCGGAGATGGATGCAGCCGGGCGCCAGGAGGATTTCACTGCGAGGGCTGTTAAATCTATTTCAGAAAATAAATTAAATTGATTTAACTGTGGAATAGCCTCAGACATGCTAAATAATAACAACAGATGCTACACTCAGATAGCATGACTAAAACACATTTTAACCATCTCGGGCTGGACTGCACATTCATAAAGCCTGCATTAAGCAACACCATAAGAGCACGGTGCAAAGTATATAGATGCTCTTACAGTAGTCCTCTGTACAGAAAACTGTAGTTTCCCCACAGCAGACACACATTAATAACAACCGCTGGCTAGTCGTAAATACTTTGGATAGTGTAAGTGCAGTCGGATTCTCTTGAAACCCGGTCGCCTTTTCCTAAGTCCTTTTGAATTCTCCTATCCACTATTCCTTAACCCCTTGAACTTCACACAGAGGTCCAGGAATCGTGGTTAGGAAAAGACGATAGGAGCTGATTTTTGGACAATTCTACCGCAACCTTAGTCAACACCATTCAATTTACATGCAAATTACAATGTGTGGTCTACACATGTTTGTTGAGCGCGTGTTCTCTTGCGCCACATGGTGGACACGAGAGAGGGTTCAAGATGTGTAATTTGTCAAATTCTGCGTATCACACTCCATGCAAAAATAATGTCCAGGGTTGCAGTCGAATAGTCCAAAATCAGCTCCTATCGTCTATCCCTTGACCTCTGAGTGAAACGTCACAGGGTTAAGGGATAGTGGATAGGAGAATTCAAAAGGACTTAGGAGAAGAGACTGCGGTGCTTTGAGAATCCGACTGCACTTTCACTATCCGACGTGTTTATGATGCGCCAGCGGACTTCATAAATGTGCGTCTGCTGCTGTGGGGAAACTATGGAAACTACAGTTTTCTATACAGCGGACTACAACATGGATGTTTAATAAGAACGACGGACTACTGTAAACTCACCTAGAGACTCTGCACCGTGCTCTGATGCTGTTGTTTTATATATATATATGCTTTATGAACGTGGACAACAGAGAAACATATTCTTCATGACCAAGGGTGGAATTTAAATAAAAAAGTTAAGTGAAACTTAGGCTTCACAGAATGAATTCACATGAATCCCAATACGTATGATTGTATGAAAAGATTTTAAAAATAAATACAGTTGTATTTATTATAAACGTTAGTCCTTAACATCTATCACTGTGTATATCACCATTCAAACATCTTTTTGAAGTTGAACAACCCCCACACAGCTCAGTAAAGACTGTGAAATGTTGACTTTATTTGATCATTTCAGTAAAAACTAACGTTCATATTTCTCTTTTTGATTATAATACTGCTGAACGTTCAAAACAAAGCACTTTGGCAAGTTAACACATACGTTTTAAAATGCTTAATAAGCACCGTAACTTTCATGATATCATTTCTCGGTCATAATCGGTTGTTTCCGTGAACGGCCGACTGTTGTGTCACGGTAAATGTTGCAGCTGCAAGGCATTGTGGGACAGCACTTTCTCCTCTCCTTTCGTAAAGGGAGGTCCAGTGGTTCCTAAGCTAAAGGAGGTTATAAAGGAAGTTTGAAAGCTCCTTTCCTTTCATTTAGAGCATTTGAACGGCTCTTATCATGGCTGCCACTGAGGGACTTCCGGGTCATTTCACTCCGTTAGGAAGGTTCCTAACCCTAAACTGACTATTCGACTGCAGCCCAGGGGCCTCATTTATAAAGGGATATACGCTCAAAAAATGGCGTACGCCAGTTTCTACGCAATGTTTGCGATTTATAAAATACTAACTTGACGGGAAAATGTGCGGTCCTCCACGCAAACTCTAACCCATGCGTACGCACTAAGCACACAAACGGGAGAGACGAGAAACTGCGACACCGTTGGCAGAAGGAAGAATGGAGAGAAATATGTGGAAATAATACCATAAATAAAATGTTACCTCTCATTTATCAAATATGAAGAATTCATTTTCAAACATTGATTAAAGCCAATCTTTAAATGATTAAACAAACGCCTGTTTGAGACTCCTCAGTGCACACAAAAACATAACTTGGAGAAATAAATAAATACGGATATGCTATTTAAAACCACCTCGAATATGTTGTGTTAATGTTATGAAATGTTTTCTCATAAATGATGCGGTAAGCAGGAGGACAGAATTACGTCTAAACTGGCGCCGTTTTGCATTTCTATAGGTTGTAGATACGAGCATGGTTTTATATACTATCACGTTTAATCGTGTTTTATGCCGTTCACCAAGACTTGATAAGTCGCTCGTAAAACACAGGAGGTATGGAAACTAAGAACACCATATGTGGTAAATTGTACAGCTAATATAACACAACACATTGTATTTCCTTTAACTGGTGGATTATGGATATATAGTTGCTGATCGACAGCTGGAACACAAACCACCAAATACAACAAAATAATTCAGATCCAGTCGTCATGACTCCACTCCGGAGGGATTCCCCGATCATTTCTTACAGTTTCTCATCAAGGGGGGGGTCTCCTGTCCCCGGGACAAACACACTGCCTGAGGAAGGTTATGTGTATTTATTTTGTCATTAACTTTTTTCGGACCACTTATTTATTTATTTTGGTGACGATCCGACCTCCATGCTGCTACTCTGGTTCAAACTGCATCCACCAAACAATATGATTTATCTCGACCTCCCCAAAATAACCAAAATCTGACACGGTGTGAGATGTCTTTTTTAGCTGTTCTGTCCTCTTTCCTGCGATCTTCTTCATGCAGTCAGTCAAAATGAATGAATGGGCGTTTCTTTTACTATTTATAGGCAAATATGGGCGTTACGAGTCGATTGTGATTTATAAAGGGAAACAGGCGTAGGGAGTGCCGTACGCACTTCCCTCGCTGGTACGCAATGTTTTGTGAATCGGAAAATGGCGGAAAATGTATGTACCTATTTTTGTGCTTTGTACTACGTAAGCAACCTTCCTACGTCAATCCTACGCAAGGCGTTATAAATGAGGCCCCAGGTCTCCAACGGTCAGGGCAAAGCACGGCTGCATCAAGCAGCATTCTGCTACTACCCCCATTGTGTTTGGAGTGCCAGGACCTGTTCATTGCTGCTTGCAGCTTTGATTTATTATTTTATATTTATTAAATTATCTTTTGAATAAAGCCAAGATATCTGTTTAAAACGAATAGAGTTATTTTGGATTCTTTGGACAATAAATAAACTTTAATGTCACAAACTAGCGGCGCTCTGATGATAAAAATCATAAACAGTTAACAAGGTTTCCCATCATTTGTTTTTTGGCTCTGTCTGTTACCATGGACACGAGGACTAACAGTGTGTGTGGTTGCTCTACAGGCAGATGAAAACCTGGGCATGGTGATGATCTTCACGCTGGTCACAGCCGTTCAGGACAAACTCAACGAAATAGTGGATTTGATGAAAAACAGACGTGAGGAGGAGAAGCGACGGATAGATGAAGAGGAAGAGGAGGCAGAGAAGGTGGGAACATTTCACATACACGTGATAAGTTTTACAGTACATATACTTTATTGATCCCAAATTGGGAAATTGTTTAGTTATGGCAGCATGTTTACGAGGCATTTCACATGTGTAAGAATAGGGAAAAAAATATATAAACTGTAAATATATACAAATCAACAGTAGTAATATAAGTATCTGAGGAATGCACAAAACTAAAATAAATAGAATAAGTTTGAAAACCCTGTAATATTCCAAATCACTACCAAAATATATACACATAGGATACTATATACATTATAGAAGGATGCAATACGATCATTATTAAATATTGTGAGTCAAGTCGTTCAGTAAGATATTCAGATCTGGTCTAAAGCCAGAGACTTTGCTGAGCTCTGAATCCACACTTTGGTTATTTTCCCCTCTTTGAGCCCGCAGCACTATTAAGAAGTTAAAGGTAGGGTAGGTAATTTTGGAGAAACCAGCTCGAGTGCGCTAGAATTTGAAAATACACAACCGGAGAAAATCTGCCACTTCCTTATAGAGCCCCTCCTCCAACACACACGAACGCGCACATGACCAATGAGGGCACGAGATAAGTCTGTGCACAGATGGAAGGCTGACAGGCAGGTAGGCCATCCAGTTATTTTAGCGGGGCTGGCTAAAATGATTGGTCGTACTTTTTACAGTATTACGGCTTCCACAGATGATATTTTTTTATGGATTTTTTGTCAAAGCACTTAAGATATTCATTGCTATCGGGATGTTAAGAGCATTCCATGGAATATAACAAAAAGTGTATCTCGAGCCGGTTTCTCAAACTTACCTACCCCACCTTTAAGTCTAGCATTTGAAGTTGAATATAATGATGAATGTGTGTTTATCAGGTGGCCTTCCAGGGCACCGTAGTAACAATCGAGAACTTCCTGGCGTGGAGAGGCAGGTTTGAGCTGGAGATGGCCGAGCTGAGGAGTAAAAGACAGAAAGAAGAGGAGCAGGCGGGAAAAATCAAACTCTCTGGTAAACACTGAGTCTTTTACTCAACATTTCTCCGTCAAGGCTCTATGAAATACTAAAGAAAATGTGTCCCTCCCCAGGTAAACAGCTGTTTGAGACAGACCACAACCTGGACACATCGGACATTCAGTTCCTTGAAGACAGTGAGTGTTTAAACTGATGTTTTCATTGTTGTTCAATTGAATCAGATGTGATTATATGGTAAAAACATGTTGGAGACTTGTGGGGCTATAGAGCACTGAAACAACGTCAAGAATATGATAAAGGGCCCTATCATACTTTTTGGAGTTTTCCCTTTCCTGTAGTGTGTTCTATAGGTTTTTGTGCATGTAAATGGTCTGCAAAGGCTCAAATCCCAAAGTTTCCTTCAGAGGGAGTTTCTCTCCCACAAACTGTGACCTGAACTTTTGGAACATTTAAGCATGTACACATGTCACAGTAGAGGCACAAATATGAACATGAACATTAGCATTATAGGGCCCCTTTAATAACTCTAATCTTTAATGTTCTATTCAAACTCAAACCTGCTTCCTCCCTCTGCAGCCGGAAACAACGTGGAGGTGGATGAGTCCCTATTCCAGGACATCGAGGACTTGGACCTGGATGAGGACGACCCGGACTTTGACCCTTTAGCCATGGGGAGTGACGAGGACTAAAGCAGGAGAGGACAGACTGATGGTCAGAACAGACTGCTCCTCGGGAATATGATCTGACAGGAATATGATCTGATGTGTCTAACATCACAATTACCTTTCAAAGACTCTAACAGCAGCTGCAGAGGAATTCCTCAGAAACAGAAACACATACATTTTTCATTTCTATGCCCCAACAATAAAATTGACAAAATAAACCTGTGTCCTGGCTCTGTTTGACCCTGCCATGGCACTAAAGCATTCCGTCTGTCCTGGGGAGGCAAGAATATATCAGTATACTTCATTAGCATGATCATTTAAAAGAGAGGTGGATAAATACAGATACAATGTTTCCCTCTTTAATGGGGAAGCAGCAAACCATTAAAATACTCAAGGAAATACTTCAAAACAGTACACTACGTTTTTCCATAAAAGACTTTAGTTAATATATGTACTCAACATTAGAGTACAACTACTGATCATCGTTTTAACTCTAAATACTTGAGTCAAGGATAATAGTATTGCTTACATGTAACAAATACACAAATGATCAATAACCTGTACATGTGGGCATCTCACAGTGGAACTTACTCGTGCTGTCCGTCACATAGACACTGTTTAGCTGAAACTCACACAATGCTTCACTTCAGACACACTGTTATACGACGCATAAGCACTCAGTGATGGAGCAGCATGATGAGGATCCACAGTGGAGGGTGTTGTAGCAATTTTGCACTCACAACAGGAAGGAATGAAACAGAGAGGAATCAATAAAACACAAACACAGGTATAGTTGATCAATTATTATTTCGTTGTACAACAATCAATAATAATGAGGAAAACATTACCTCTGCTCTCAAGCAGTCCTACAGCAATGCTTCATAGAACAGAAAGATCTCATGTGCTTTATGCATGCAAAACACACACGAACATACACTTGAAACAGCATACGTGGCAGAGATGTTCCAACCTTATACAGTCATACATGTTGCAACCTCTGAGTTCTACATGATCCCAGAGTTCATGACCTTATTTAGCAGCTACCACACATCCCCATGTATACAACTGCTGGTGAAGAGTTTCAGCTGGTTGCCTATAGATGGGCCATCTTCTAGCAAACCAAATGAACAACACACATTCCACTATACTATAGCTTATTATAACCATGTGACATTAATGAATATATCAGAAATACGCTGTAAGAAACATTCTGCTATAACACTCCCTCCTTTTATTAATTAAGGTCACACAATCAAAAATAATATGTATTACAAGTAACCTACTGAGTTCCGCCCTAAAAAGCCCAAAATGACTTTCTGAAAAACATTTATCAATGGGTAATCATTTTACTCAAAGCAGAAGTCACAGGTCACTGTACTGTACCTACTCACAAATAGCCAAAAAACCACCTTTTTGATTATACATAAAAGTGGAAGAAAAGACTATTGCGCTAATCTATTTTTACTTAAAATGGGACATCGTTTTAGGAATATATATATAAAAAAAATCTCTATAATTAAGAGGAAAAAATGTACTTTGTCCATTCAAATTTAACACACGAGTACATAAAAAAAAACACACGTATATTAGTGATAACATGTTTCAACACACTTCTTATTACTTATTGTAACAAGGAAAAACCCAAAACACAATGTTATATTGATTCAAATATAATGAAATCCTAAACTAACCTAATCATAAATGTTATCACTTCCTATATGAGATCTGCGCTGAGATCAGATAAGCTTATCATCCAGGTAGTCTTGTAAATCCTGAAAACAGTTATTTTCATCCATGTCTTTACATTCCTCATAAAACATTGCAGGAACTTGTACATCAGATTCAATAGCTACAGCAGTCAAAGAGGTAGTAACACATCTATTAATCATTGCCTTGATACAACTTACAAAACAAACAGCTAACAAACAAATCATCAGAAGTGTTACAATCACAGGAAATACAACCTGCAATATTCTTGTTCCCCAAGACCCAAAAATACTAGCAAGCCAATCCTGGTCTGCTGCATCGAGTAAGCCAGACTTTTTACCTAGAGCAGATCTAAAATAGTCCAAGGCTGTAATAACATCAGTTAAATTATCTGTATTATCAGGAATCAATGTCAAACAAGAACCATCAGTCAAATTTAAAGTTACACACAATCCCCCCGTTTTTGCCAACAAATAGTCTAAGGCTAATTGGTGTTTCAACAAAGTTAACCTGTGGGACTTTAAAGTGTCCTTAATGAGAGTGAAACCTTTTGTAGTTGCATTTGCAAAACCCCACATAGTATAAGATAGACTGTCGACATGGAGAGATAAGGTGAGTGTTCCTAATTGTGGGTAGAAGAAACCAAGTACTTTCTCATACCAGGGAACCTTATGACCAAATGAACCTGCCGAGAACTCAGAGAGTGACCTCTTTGTTCTGATATGAGTATCAGTCAATCCAAATGTGTCAGGTGATGATATGTTTAGCACTGAATCTGACATATGAATTATATTAACCGGCATTGTCAAATGAGCATAATAACAGCATCCTGATCAATATCTAGGCAAATAATAATAATAATTTGTCCCCCCACACATAAAAACAAGATCCTCCACAATACTCGTAGCCATATGTCCTAAACCCAGTCCCTCATCGTCAACAATGTCTATAACACGTCCCTTTCCTTGAAATGTATGTTTACTAGGATAACGGCCTACGTATACTGTACAATCAGCAACTCCCATGAATACAGTTTCAATTTTATGCACACCTATTTGATATGGAGGTACTCCATCTTGATAGCAAATACAATTGGATGGCTTCTCTGTCACTTGTACTTGACCAACAGGCTCCGGTTCAACCCTAAGGTCAGTTAATCTGTGAAGCCGGATAAGAGGACCATATTTATTAGGACCACATCCAGCGTCAAGGGGTTTTCCTACGTGCTGTGATGCAACTCGTTCCTCATATTTGCAAAGAACAGGAAACAATTCATTTTGTCTAAGAGGCCTTGCTACTGGACTCATACAAGTACCCATGCTATTACAAGGTGGCATGACCACTGCTGTCATACCATTTTGTCCTGGAAAGGTGTGTTTTACCATATAAGACATCATCTCATACCAAACATTGCCTTTCGAACTTATGGGTAGCAGGTAGTCCTCCTCTTTGTCTTCCTTGTCTTCACGGTTGATGATTGGCTCAATCAACACAGCTCTCTTAGTTCTTTCTGAAAGTTTTGTCAGTGAGTTATGTCTTTCCAGTCCTGACCCCTCAGGGTCTGCTGGCAATTGCTCCCGGGCAATACTGGAATTTGACCCCAAGTAAGTGCTAGCATCCATACTAGCATGGTCATCATGGCGAACCTATGGTCAGCCATCCCTTTCTCAAGGTATCGGTGCTTTCTTGCAATGGGACGCGTGTACCCAAGTGGTTCTCTCCTTCACTTTTACCGCAGTCGGTGTAGTAAGCAGAACCTGAAATGGGCCTCTCCAGCGTGGAGAATGCCAGTGACGTCTCCTCAAGTCCTTCACCAGAATCCAGTCAGCTGGATGGTAGGGGTGATTTATCTTTCCGTCTTCCAAGGGTGTAGGGAGAGCTGCTTTGACCTGAATGGAGATAGAACTCAAAATCTGGGTTAGCTTCCTACAGTAGGCCACTATGGCCTCATCCACAAGTATCTGATCAGTACTCCTACCTTTGTACAGATCTTGACCCATAGGCATAGTTCTACCTGTCAAAACCTCATGTGGAGATAAACCTATGGTAGAGTGGTATCTTCCCCTCATATACATTAACACCAGGGGAAGACAGGAAACCCAATCCATTTGTGTCTCAGCTATCATCTTTGTCAGTTTGTTCTTTAACACCCCATTAGCTCTTTCAACAGCACCCCCACTCTCTGGATGGTAAGCACAATGGCGTTTTAAATCAATGCCTGTCTTTTCTGCCAAAAATGATATTGTATTGTTTACAAAATGAGGGCCATTGTCTGATGATAATTTTGTAGGGATTCCCCACCTGGGAATGAAATCCTGAAGTAAATGTTTAGCAGTTGATATTGCATCTGCATGTTTACAAGGAAAAGCTTCCACCCACTTAGAGAACATATCTACTACAACTAGACAATACTTATATCCTCTAGCTGGAGATAACTCAATGAAATCCATCATTAGATGTTGAAAAGGGCCACTTGGCACTGGAAATGCAGCTTGTGTTATGTGTTGTGACTTACCCACATTGTTTTGAGCACACACCAGACATCTCCTGCAAAAGTTTTCAGCTGTAGTGCTGAAACCAATTGAGTCCCAACTCTGTGCAATGAATTTAATCATTCCTGTCTTGGAGACATGATCTAAACCATGGGAGAGCTTGGCCATGTAGGGAAAAAGTTGTTTAGGCAAACAAGGTTTGTCATTTGGACCTTTCCATACTCCTTCTGAATCATACTTACCTTGTTCCTCCATGACGTTTTTTCCGCAGCACTAGCCATTGATTGAATGTCTTTCAGGGACATATGGGGATCGAAAACCGTCTGTGACTCAGCAGAGTCAAGAGGCATCTGAAGTGAATAAGTCTCACATGAAACAGCGGCAGACTTTGCTGCAGAATCAGCAAAATAATTTCCTTTAGAAACATCATCGGTAACCCGAACATGGGCTTGACATTTACATACAGCCACCTGAGATGGGAGCAAAATGGCATCAAGAAGATTATTGACAAGAAGGTGATGCTGTATAGGTGTGCCTTGTGATGTAAGAAAACCCCTGTTTTTCCACAGAGTTCCATAGTCATGCACAACACCAAAAGCATATCTGCTGTCAGTGTAGATGGTGACTGACTTTCCTTCTGAAAGAATACACGCTCGTGTTAAAGCAAAAAGTTCAGCAGCCTGAGCAGATAGGTGAGAAGGAAGTCTCGCAGACTCCACTACATCATGATCACTTACAACTGCATAGCCAACAGCTCCAACACCATCAACCCTACTAGCTGATCCATCAACATAATAAATAAGATCAGAGTTAGAGAGCGGTATAGTAGCAAGATCTTGTCTCGGAGTTACTGCTTCAGTAATTGCTGCCAAACAGTCATGAGGTTCACCATCTTCCTCCGTGGGAAGGAGAGTAGCTGGGTTTAACCACATCACATCTTCTCAAAGGACATGTGGCAAGTTCAAGATTGTTGTAATAGTGAAGAGTAGACGCAGGAGTAAATGGGCCATTGTTGGCTT